GCATCACAGCTCACAGCAACCTCGAACTCCTGGGCTCAAGCGAGTCTCCTGCCTCAGCCTCCCAATTAGCTGGGACCACAGGTGCCCGCCACAACACCCAGTTATTTTTTGGTTGCAGCCGTCATTGTTGTTTGGCAGGCCCGGGTTGGATTTGAACCTGCGAGCTCAAGTGTATGTGGCTGGCGCCTTAGCCACTTGAGCCACAGGCACCGAGCCAATATATTTCATTTTTAATGGGTATAAATTTCATGAAGTGATTCTACCTTAACTTACATACTACACATCTTACATGTTTCTATTACAGTATGCTTATCTTGGTCACAAATTTCTATGTTGAACACATTCATAAGTGAGGAATTTCTTGTATGTTGGAGTCTTTTCTTAGGGTACATTCGCAGAAAACTTGTATATTCCGTTCCCTATATAAAAGATATAAGATGACTTCCTTAGCCTTAAGGATCTTGGATCCTTTGTGAGTTTTTTTAAGTTTTTATTTTTCCTTTTTTTTTTTAGGCAGTCTCACTTTGTCCCCCTGGGTAAAGTGCTACAGTGTCATAGCTCACAGCAACCTCAAACTCTTGGGCTCAAGTGATTCTCTTGCCTCTGCCTCCCAAGTAGCTGGGACTATGGGTGTCTGCCACAATACCCAGCTATTTTTAGAGACAGGGGTGGGGATGGGATGGGGTCTCTCGCTCTGGCTCAGGCTAGTCTCAAACCTGTGAGCTCAGGCAATCCACCTGCCTCGGCTTCCCAGAGTGCTAGATTACAGGTGGGAGCCACTGCGCCAGGCCTCCCTTAAGGAACTTGGTATTATAAATAATGTTTAGAGAACTACATTGCTATGTTAAGGTAGACAGTGAAGTAAATAGAAACTATATGCATAGTCTTATAGCAGAAAATATAGTAAACCATCTTTCTCAAAAAATCCATTACAGACTAAATGGTCTTATATTGTTAAGAAAAAAATGGACTAAAAACTTCATAGATGGGCGGTGCCTGTGGCTCAGGAGGTAGGGCGCTGGCCCCATATACCGACAAGGGTGGCAGGTTCAAACTCGCCATGACCAAACTGCAACAAAAAATAGCCGGGCATTGTGGCAGGCACCTATAGTCCCAGCTACTTGGGAGGCTGAGGCAAGAGAATCACCTAAGCCCAAGAGTTGGAGGTTGCTGTGAGCTATGACACGACCGCACTCTACCAAGAATGACAAAGTGAGACTCTGTCTCCAAAAAAAAAAAAAGTCACAGGAAGATAAGTCTGTATACAAGAGGACCATCTGAAGGCCAAGAGCTCTAAGTGTATCCTGGGATGCATGCCAGACAAACAACACACAGCACAGAGACGGACTGTATTATCTTAGTTCTTAAAAGAACTGGCTTTACTATTGGCTGACTGTTATTATCAGGTGAATTTCATATCGAACTGTCAAAATGTTATTACCTTATTTGCTGTAGGAATGATATATAATATAATGTCCACCCTATCATTCAATGCCCGCTATAAAGCCCCAAAGTGAGAAATTATAGAATTTAATGTTAAGAAGTGTTTGCTCCCTTCCAATGACAAAAATTATACATATAACTATCACCCTTTTTAACTTGGTAGCCAGAAAGCTTCAAGCCAAATTTGAAGGCTATTTTATTATGATGTTTTCTGTATGAATTAACCACAAATGCTTATGGAATGTGAAATATAGACAGAAAAGACAAATTAACTTGCTTTGCTTTTATCTCTCCGACACTTCTTGCAGTCAGTCCCACCTTGTTTGCACGTATGTGCCATTACTCCTTATTTGAACACAATGGTATAGCATTTTTTTGTTTGTTTGTTTTTTGAGACAGAGCCTCAAGCTGTCACCCTGGGTAGAATGCTGTAGCATTACAGTTCACTGCAACCTCCAACTCCTGGGCTTAAGTGATTCTCTTGCCTCAGCCTCCCAAGTAGTTGGGACTACAGGTGCCCACCACAACGCCCGGCTATTTTTTGGTTGTAGTTGTCATTGTTGTTTGGCAGGCCTGGGCTGGATTTGAATCTGCTGGCTCTAATGTATGTGGCTGGCGCCTTAGCCACTTGAGCTACAGGTGCTGAGCCAATGGTATAGCATGTTAAAACCCAAACCCCAGAATTTTTGTTGCCATTGATTAAATTAGCTGTTCTCAGGTGACTGTGAGACTGATGAATAAACTCTCACTAGATTAAAATTAACTAAAAAATGATTTATTAGGCATCTATTTTGTGTTAATTTACTCATTTTCTTTCTTTTTTTTTTTT